TTGGAAGCAGGAAATCATTATAAAAACATCTTTTAATTTTGAAGCAGACTGCTAAAACAGTACACTTAGTAATTGTAATTGTAGAATTTTCTATTTAGTTTTCTTTCTGTTACCACAACAGTCAGATGACTGGAATAAAATTAATACAAAAGCATGTAGTGTTTTCTAAAGGTAATTGTAGTTACAGCTTTGCTTTCAACCTTTTATTCTTAGCTTTTAAGATCTTGCGCTTGACTTTTTATTTTTCCAGTGCAGTATAATTTTCATTATGAGCCTCTTGAATGTTTTTTAAAAATAGACTTTAAAAAAAAAAAAATGGATAAACAGGGAAAGGATTTAATATCTAGTATTTCGTCCATTGTTTTATTTGCAACAAAATTCTTGTGATGATCCTTTCATTATTGTCTTGACTACAGCAACATTTTTTTATTCTTGTTTCCTTTGGCTTTAATAATTGATATTAATGTGCAAATATTCTTCTGAATGTTTAATTTTACTTTAAGATTAACATGTTTAGGTAGTTTACTTTGTTCACCTTTCACAATTGTTACTTAATTGTCTCATTAAATTTTAGTTTCAATACACCAGTAATTTTTCTAGTGTGCAATCAAACAATTTCCCAGTTGCTGTCTTATTTAATGTTGTTGCCAAGAGAAGCTGTCAGATTTTCAGAGTTATCTTTTGATACATGCGGATTATCACTAATTTGCAGATTAAAGTACAGAAAGTGTGGGGATGGGGGGAGATTGGTTTTTGGTTTGGATTTTGTTTTTATTATTTGTTTTTCTTTTTAAGTGTTCTGGTAAAACTTGTATGCTTTTGGTGACTTACACTCAAGTCTCCAGTTACTCTCAAAATAGGCAAACATGAAAAATTTTGAGAAACATAAGTGTTAGCAATTATTGCCTGTTTGTGATGGTTTCAGGAAGGGAAAATCCTACATTCACAGATAAAGGCAATACTGTCTTCATGTAAGTGCTACTTTTTTCCTAAGAATTTTCCTGTGGAAAACTATATTACTTTGTTTTGCATCCAAAATGTTGCTTTATTTTTTAAACTTTTCTTTAGAAACTGGTAAGTATGTGTTCCAGAGTGAAGGTTACCACCCAATTCACAGTTGGTAAAATCAGCTTTCAGTGTTGTTAAGGGTATGCCATTAAATCATTTAAGTTCAAATTGGATTGCTGAATGATTATACTCATATTTGCAAGTAGTGTGTGGTGTCCAGTTGCTGAAAGGGAACAGAGAAATGTCTTATGTGCTAAAGTTGAATTCTGCAAGAATTTGAGAAGTTTTTATAGCTTTTTCTATGGAAATATCTGGCAATATGTAGAATTTGAAGAGGAAATACTAGGCTCAATCTTATTCCAGCATAACTACTTCTTTATTCCAAGTATGCAATGACATATATGTCATTAGTGGTTCTAGTACAGTGTCATGGTTTGAGCAGGCCCAAAATCCAATTCTGATTCCTAGCCCCCCACCCACATCTCAACCCCATGTGAGATGGGTTTTCCAGACAAAAACACGAGACTCAATATGGGGGAAGGAATATATTACAAAGACTATACACATAAATAAATACTATAATACACTGCATACAATCTTAACTCTATATCTATCTCTACCATGACAATAATATTTACAATGGGCCCAATCTCTTCTCCCTCCAAATAAAAGTTCAGGAGAGAAGAAGAAGAAAAGACCCCTTCCAGTCTCTCAGCAACAGGTCTCTCTCTAGGCAGCAGGCTTTCTTCTTCTCTTTCAGGCAGCAGTTGCAGCTGGATCCTTGCCAATACACACGAGGGGGGTCTCCAAGTCCCTCTCGGCCCTCCGTCTTCAAAACGGGGGTCTTTCCGTGGACTACGTAACCCCAGACAAGGTCGTTCCACCACGGTCATATCACGAAGCACGGGGGTCTTCGTGACAGTCTGGTATCTTCAGGGGAAATCAAGCCCCTTCACAGAGCTTCTGTGCTCTGCCTCAAAGATGGCTGCCAGCTTCTCTGAAGCTGCAGCAAGGAGGGGGGGGGGAAGCCCAAGGTCACCCCCTCCACACACATTCCTTTGGCCATCCTGGCTGAGCTCTCAGGAGGCCGGAGCTTCTTAGCTCCTCTCTGTAGTGCATACTGCACTTTAGGACTCCACTCAGTCCACCACCCCCTCCTCTTTCTCGGAGGGGTCTCTAGCGAGTTTGGGGGTTTTGGTTTGTCCAGTTCTTACCCTCCGAAACTCTCTTCCTGCTGCTGGCTCGGGTCTCTTGTCTTGCTTTCTGCTGCTGGCTCTTTTAGTTTCCTCAGACAGCTCTCTGTCTGCTTCAGTTGCATACCGGCATCTGCTGCTTCTCTTGGTTCTTATCAGTTGGCTCTTTGCCACTGCTCTTCGGACACTGCTGTTCTGCTGCTCCTCCGTCGCTGCTCCCAGCGTCTCTCACTTCTGCTTACAGGGGAGAAACTCCCCCAGTTCCTAGCCACAGGCACTCAGTCCAGTCTGACACTGTTCCGAGTCCCTGCAGCCCCCAACCGGGGGCTGGGGGGGGCAGAGGCCCCCAAGGGGCCGGAGCCCCTTCTCCTCGTGGCCTCTACAACATGGCCACCTCTTCTTCTCACAACAAGAACCACTGCTCCTTTTCCGGTCTCCAGAGATATGTTTATATTTTGCAGGAGCACTGATTGGGTTAAGCCCCAAGGGTCACCACCCCCTGGGGGTTACCACTTTCAGCTTTAGGGGGAAAACCTGGCTCAAACCAGTACATACAGTCACACAACTTTTATGGGAAAATGATGTTGATTTGTTAGTCTCTGCATGGAGTTAGCAAAATTATTCACATGGCTTCTATGCCAGGTAATTATAGATACAAGCTTGCATGCTTGCAAGTATCTCACCCCATTCAACAAGTTAGCTTTCTACCAGTCTTACTTTTCACTCTTTATCACTGCCCAAGCGTCTGTGTCAAATAGTTTATATAAAATGTCCTATGCCAAGTCTAACCCTCATAAAATCATAGACTATCCTGAGCTGGAAGGGACCCACAAGGATCATTGAAGTCCAACTCCTGGTCCTGGACAGGACAACCCCAAAAATCACACCATGTGCCTGAGAGCATTGTTCAAACACTTCTTGAACTCAGACTGGTTTGATGTTGTGATCACTTCCCAGGGGAGCCTGTTCCAGTGCCCAACTATCCTCTGGGTGAAGAACCTTTTCCTAATATTAAACCTAAACCTCCTCTGACTCAGCTTCATGCCGTTCCCTCGGGTCTTATCACTGATCACCAGAGAGAAGAGATCGACCTCTGCCCCTCTGCTCCCCCTCGTGAGGAAGTTGTAGACTCTATGAGGTCTCCCCTCAGTCTCCTCTTCTCCAGGCTGAACAAACCAAGTGACCTCAGTCACTCCTCATATGGCTTCCCCTATAGACTCTTCACCATCTTCATGGCCCTCCTTTGGATGCTCTCTAATAGCTTTATATTCTTCTTATATTGTGGTGCCCAAAACTGCACACAGGACTCGAGGTGAGGTCTCACCAGTGCAGAGTAGAGCGGGACAATCACCTCCTGCGGCGAAGGCCCCTCACTCAGCACCCTTTTCGGCAAATGAATCCACAGGAGACAGACTTTGTCCAGGAAGAACTCTCTTGTAACTTTATTACTCCATTTATCTACAGAATAAGGGTCTGAGCTATCAAGCCAGGCCAGATTTTACTTATCTGCACACATTCCACACAGACACTCCCGTGGCTGCCTTCAACCACAAAGAACAACCATGCTTCAAGCGGCTTTCCAGCTTGACCTTGCGATTCTTTTCCCACACACGGTAATCTTAGCTCTGGCTTGTTCAGGACCACAATATTTTTGCTTTAATATTTTCTTCTTCTTCTATCATCCAGATGGCTGATGTTGTCTTGTTTAGCTGTTCCTACAACCTCCCTTGACCAGTTCACGATGCTGAGCTTGATCACCCCAGGACCTAGTTGACACTTTTGGCTGCCAGGGCACACTGCTGACTAGTATTCAACTTGCCATGAACCCAAACCCACAGATCTCTTTCCATGGGGCTGCTCTCCAGCCTCCTGTTCCCCAGTCTGTAACATACATCCAGGGTTGCCTCGTCCCAGGTGCAGAATCTGTCACTTGCCCTTGTTAAACTTCATACAGTTGGTGATTGCCCAGTCCTCTAATTTATCGAAGTCTCTCTGCAGGGCCTCTCTGCCTTCAAGGGAGTCAACAGAGTCAGCCAATTAAGTGTTGTCAGCAAACTTAGTATCCCTTTGAGTCCTGCATTCAAGTAATTTATGAAGATGTTGAACAGAACTGGCCCTAAAATGGAACCCTTTTGCACCCCACTAGTGACTGGTCACCAGCCTAATATAACCCCATTTAGTATAACCCAGCCTGTCAGCCAGTTGTTCACCCACCACACGATGTGTTTATCTAGCTGTGTGCTGGACATTTTGTCTAGAAGGATCCTGTGAGAGACAGTATCGAAAGCTTTACTGAAATCCCAAAAGATTACATCAACTGGCTTACCTTGATCAACTAAATAGGTGATCTTGTCATAAAAGGAAATTAAGTTTGTCAAGCAGGACTTTCCCCTCATGAACCTGTGCTGGCTGTGACCAATGACTGCGTTGTCCTTCAGGTGTTTTTTGATAACTCCCAGAATATTGTCCATGATTTTATCAGGCACTGAAGTGGGACTGACCCTCAACAAACCATGAATAGCTATGATTAAACTAGATACCCGATTTTTCTTGCTGATCTAGTTTCTTCCATGTGACTTAAAGAAGTTATGCTCAAGGTAGCTAATTCCCCAAGCTTTGTATTATATATGCATCTATATGGACACATATAACGCATGCATTCAAATAAAATCAGAAAATAAGCATCTTTGCAATTGTTACTGTGGAATAAAACCTATACTGGTCATTCCATTTATTGGCATGCTGACTCTTATCAGCCAATTCATTCTTGATGCATCAAATGATAATGTAATTTTACAGGAGATAGAGAAAAGGAGAAGAATTGAAGAAGCATACAAAACTGCTGTGACAGAACTGAAGAAAAAGTCCCACTTTGGAGGACCAGACTATGAGGTACAAATTCTGCTTTTGAAATTTTTTAAAATGCTAAGGCTTTTAAAGATTGGTTTGTTTCTCAAAGGAGTGTGTGTATAAATCAAGGTCTTTGGCTGTGCAAGGGTGTTCATGCCACTTTTTCTGCCTTGGAAACTGAAACTAAATGAAGAATCTAAATCATTCATTGTTTTGAGAATAGAAGTCTGTCTTCACCTCAGGTTTCCTTATTCTGCTTTTGTCAAAAGTATTTTGCTTGCAGATATTTTTGCTGACTTTTAAATTCTTTTTTTCTACATTTTATACTGCTCATTTGCAAGTTGTGTACTCTTACATTTTAATGAGTCAGCTGTATAGATATGTAATGCAAATATGAAAGCCCTGACTGCAGAGGCAGTCCTAGAATCTGAAGTTTAATTTGAATTGATTTTTAACTTGTCACTGCCACTTGAAATGTATTGATAAATTCAATGACTTTAGGTTCTGCTTCATCTGTTAAATTGCATGTTTTATCAACTTCCTCCTCAGTTTGGTTATTTAATCAAAGTCTAAGGCTCCTAAACTGCCTTCTGAAAAATAATATAAACTAATGCACCTATAATGCAGTTTGCATAACTTTTAAGAACTTCACCCTTTCATTTACATTAATCAAACAGGTTTCTACTTACAAATCATAGCCTGAGAAATAGTATTAATATGTTTAGATATTTAAAAGGTTTTATGAGCTTATGTTCTCCATTGTGACTGAGGCACTGTAAAGAAAAAGATGGATAGGAAGATGGACTTTGTCTACCTGATTATGAACCCAGCTGCTTCTCCCAGATATCCCTGTTGTAAAGTAGATTTTTTAAATTTGCTGGACCGGTTTGTTTTACAATACAATAAAGGCAGTAAACCTAGTTTTCCTAAATTATCATTTTACTTAGTGGACACAAGTTTTTAATAATTGACTCAACTCTATCTGCTGTTTATTGTTAAACTGTTCTTTCCAAGAATTCTCAGTAGTGATCCACAGGTTTTTGTCTTGTGCTTTGAGCACATATCTGAAATTTACCCTAAGGCACTGGAATACTTGGAAGGAATCTAAATACACAATTATGTTAATATATTTACTTTATCGACATACTGTAAACATTTTTAAGAGAATATATATAGTAATTAAAATCTGACTCTGATATCAAAGCATATTAACACTGTTACTCAGTCTTCAGTTTCCTGAGGTTTTTGTTTATATTACTATCCCTAAATTGTAGTCAAAGGAAATAACTTCCTTTAACAAGTAGAGTTTTCAGATGAATTCTAATATAAGAATATTGGTGAAAATATTTAGGATCTATGAAAGAAATTTCCTTCTGTCAGTTATATGCATAATACATAAATAGTTATTTCTAATATTGAACTTAAGTGGAGCTCTCATCTCCAAAATTTTGAACTAGTTTTGTTTCTTATGCTCTAGGAGGGTCCTAATAGTCTGATTAATGAAGAAGAATTCTTTGATGCTGTTGAAGCTGCTCTCGATAGACAGGATAAAATGGAAGAGCAGGTATTGATACTTGAAAAATATGTTAATGATGGGCACTTCATGGAAGACTTCTGGGACTTAATCAGTCCTGGGGTGCATCTCCTGAAACTAGATATTTTATAGTGACACTTATAAGTGGGATTCACTACTTAATATTTATATGGTTAAATATCATTGCTTAACACTAATTTTGAGAAAGTGATTTGACAGCTTGCATAGAAAAGGATAGTATAAGTGTTAATTGATTGTCTCTGGTTTCTAACTCCTAAATAAGTGTATTAGTCCTGTATAAAACTTATCTTCATATGTAACTGATGTCCTGTGCAAATAAGAATATCTAATACTGCAGATTTTTTTCAAAACCTAAGTTTCTTTTGACTGTAGCAGTATGTGAAATAAGAAAGACATAGTTCTATTGGTTTTTGGTTTTGTTTAAAAATTGTGTAAGCTCTGGTTATTTCTCTAACTCATTTCTTGAATACACTTCAGTGACAAGGATCAAAAAGGGATAAGATGTGTGTGATGGAATATATAGAATATGAGAACAAATAGTAGTGTATAAAATGAGAGGGAATAGCAAAGTGGTGCCTCCTTTGTCTTGAAAGGTTTTAGAATATAGTGAATACAATGACGGTTAAGAATTATAAGACTTTCTAGTACCCAGCAGAGCTTATCTATGTTGGGGTCTCTTAGCGGAAAGTATAAGTTTAGAGTGACTGTTGTACTACTACATGGATACAACATCTGTAATGCTGCCAATCTATTTTGCTTAACATAGAAATATACCTTGAAGTATAGATGAATGGGTAATTCAGTCTCTAGGCCCATTTTCTTCCTGAGAACTCCAGCAGGTTGACAACTTCATGTCTGTCATGGACAGCACTAGTTGTTGTAGCCACTATATAGATTGAAGGTGCCTCACTCTTTCATAGTCCATCCAGTAGCAGTTGACCACCAGTAATGAAACCTATTTTGTTGCAGTCCCAAAGTGAAAAGGTCAGATTATACTGGCCAATATCCTTACCTTCTGGAGATGCATATTCTGCTGTGGGTACTCATAGATTTGTCCAAAAGGTAAGATAATTCTCATGATCTCCTCTGTATAATTTGTATATTTATATATTTTATATGGGTAGGTAAGATTGATTTATTTTTTTTAAATTATTTTTTAGGTGTTTCTAGTATAACTTTCAGTGGTTTACTCATTTTCAATTAAAGTAGCTGGAATTGCAGAAGGACTGTTTTCTGTCTTGGCTAAAAAAAATCCTGATTTCAGTATCTATTTAGAATACTCTTGATTTGTATCAAACTGGTCAGTTAGAAAATATATTAAAGAAAAAAAACCCAACTTGCTAACCTCGGTGTTTTGAAGATACCTTCACCAAAATTCATTCAATTGATGAAAAAAAAATCCAGTCTCTTGCATTAAGATCAATTGACTTTTTTTAGTGTTAATGGAAACACTATACCTTTTTTAGGGCGGCACTGGGAGCATAATACATAATAGGTGCATGAAATCAGCATTTGCCGCTGTGCTTGCTACTTATGGTGCTTTTGTTTTCATTTTCTTCATTATCTTGTGCTTACAAGTTGGTACTGAATGCTCTGTTGTGCCTTTGTTCTGATTACTTGGTTTTTTCTTTGTCTGTCTCTGGTAGCCCTATAGTCGTTCTTCCTCCATGTCTTCCATTGATCTAGTCAGTGCCTTTGATGTTCACAGATTCAGCGCCCAGGTACTGTATTAATGTGTAGAGTGGGGGTTGCGTATCTTTGCTGCATTTCATCCTCTTCTCTAGAACCTGGGTTTTTTGTTACATAAATCACTGTTTGCTTTAAACTAGTATGTTGAGACCAAAAAAAAGGAGTTATCTATTTCTATATTAAATGGTTGTCTTTTTACATTCTGCTTGCATGCATATTACTTGTGCAGAGGCCCAAATCTTGTGAAACTGTTGGATCAATTTCAGTAGCTTTAATAAAAATACTTACAACTTGAAAATTTTGCATTTCTGATTATAATAAAAGTAATAAAATAACATCTGTTTTGCATGGGCTGGAGATGGTCTTTGCTTCAAATTGAATAGTTTTTCATGGTTTTAAATCAAAGGTTTAATTTTGTCTTTAAAATTTGTTGTCGCTTGTAATAACTTTAAGATACCAAATTTTAAGGTTCTCTATTATAATTACTTACCTCTACAACTAGTTTTATTACCAAAAGGTCATAAAGTATGCTGTTAAAAAATGAGATTATGGATATGAGAACTTTTACTGAAGAATTCCAATATATTCAATTATCCTTCAGAAAATGTCTGAAATCCTGAATAAGTGAATTTAGTTGTAGTGACATATTCTAGTAATGTACAAAATTACTCTAGCTGCTTGCTCTGAAGATCATAGTTTAGAGTTGAATTAGATAAGTAAGTTCATGTGTTTTGTCTTTATTCTCAAAAAAAAATCATTCAGACATAGCATTCATGCCATTACTTTCCTTCTGCTGTGGTCCATATGATTGTGAATATGGGTCTTCCTTCTGGGATCTGTTGTTTTGGGGTTTGTTTGTTTGTTTTTAAATTATTAACTAACACTGCAAACAGACTGCTTTTTCGAATAGAAGGAATGGATTTTCTTTTGATTAATAGAGCCTGGAATCATGCTACCTGCATACCTTGCCACCAGCTTTGTGAGCAGAACCCTAACACTTAAGGACTTGCTTATTGGACTGAAATCCCAACACTTGCCTTGACTTATTGCAGTCAGTTAATTTCTGGAATTTGAACTTCTCACAAGGGGAAAAAGTACGCGGGTCATATTGCACAACACTAATAGGCTGATCTACTGGTACTCCAGTAGTCACATTAGTAATTCAAGTTTGGTTTTGTTTGGGAGAAGGAGGGAAATCAAGTAATAGAAAGCAAGTTTGATTCTAAAGATAGAAAATTGGTTGTCTATCAGGCTACATTGCCAGTTCAGTGTAAGGGAAACGCATAGTCATTAAAATATGTGAACCTTTTCATTTTCATCTCTTATGCCTGGGATAACATTTGTGGACCCATATGGTAAACCTGAGTATCAGACCATTAGTGTGGCTGAAAACCTAATCACTTAAAAACAAATCTGAGGTTGATCAGGTCCTTATCACAATAATGCAAATTGACATTAAAGTTCAGGGTCAAATGGACTGAATTATGGGGTCAAGGTGTTGCTCTTTCCAGCAGGTGCAGGGATTACACTATGTAGAAGCTACTACCCAGTGTCTTAGAATGTGATTTCAAGTTAACTGACTCACTACAGAAAGAATGATCCTGCTAACTTAAAAGAAACCTACTCCCCTCTGCCCCCTTCTTTCCCCATATCTTCCCTAGAGCAAACTTGCCAGTTCAGTAAGTTGCTCCACCTGCTCTGGAGCGTCATTGCTAGCTAACAAGCAGGTGAAAGACAACTGAGAGCATGAAGAGAAAAGCAGCACACCTTTTGGTGACAAGCTGTTGTAGACCTTATTATTAGGAAATTGTCCTCTGTCCCCAGGCTGAGGATTTGACTTTTGGAAAGGCAAGCTAAATCTTGACTCTGAACAAATGAGACTTGCTTCTAGACTTCATTTATATGAAGGAAATCTTGGTAAAAGGTCAAATAGAAACTTGCAGCTTTGTTTTTAAGATTGAGAAGCATAAACATATTCTGATGGGAGCTGGTTCTTCAGTGTGCTTTCAGAAAGGCATTGATTTGTCTCTGCCAGTTGAGTAGGAGGCTGCGGGCTTAAAATGCTGCAAATGTGTTGCAGATCACTTTCTCCTTTTAAAAGACTATCAGACTTTAAAATAGATTGAGATGTTCTGAGGGCCTTTTAAATGAAGAACTGCCCATTTAATGTTCAGACCAAGACTGCGTGGGATAGAGGTACTTTTGCAGACCATTCCTGTAGTCTGCCAGGAACCCAGAGGTAATAGTGTAGCCACCCCACTGGGAAAGAAGCTGTGAATTTTGACTCTGTGCCTAATGTGGTACCTGAAATAGGTGCAGGCTGACAGTGACCAGCAGGTAGATCACAGTTTGGACAGGTAGTATGCACAAAGCAGTTGTAGGCACTGCAATTACTTGGTCAAATAGAAGTAATTGTTATTGAAAAACGACATTCGCTCTCCTCTGAAAGCTGCAATGATAATACCTCTCCTTTCCCAAACCTAAGGGGAAGCTGTCTGAAAGATGTATTAGCAGGAATGAAACTTTATTGGGAGAGAGAGGGAGAAAAAAAACTAAAAACGCCTTTCACATTTTCAGAGGAAGTCAGGGGGCTAAATGCTGAACAATTCCAAAGGCCCTAAACTGTTTAGATTGTACTCTCAGGCACATGGTGTGATTCTTGGGGTTGTCCTGTGCAGGACCAGGAGTTGGACTCAATGATCCTTGTGGGTCATGTCCAACTCAGGATATTCTATGATTCTCTGATACTCCTGTCAATGCCTCATTCTCTTCTTTGCTATTCTCCTCCTCCCTCTGCATTTAGCATAAAGCAAAAAGCAGCAAAATACAAAACAAACACATACAAGCCAGCTTTGTCCCTAATAGATTAGGAGCTAGGGGAGGAGATAGAGACTCTAAAGGTGTTGCAGGTAAAGTTGGGAGCATAGTGAGGATTCCCTTCTAAAAGAAGTGTGACCTAGAGCTAGTAAATTGAATATTTAAATAGCCCACATTCTTACCTGGCTTGGATTGTACTGTGTCATTGTATCACTGGAAAAAAAATAATTGGAAGAATATATAAAAGCAGAAACACAAATCTTATAGATGTTTATAGTTCATTATAACTAAAAAAGAAATTAAAGAAAACAAAGAAAACCCCTAAAACTGGACTCATAACTTGGTTTCTGTAGAAAATTCTATAGTTAAAATAAGATAAAGTAGCATTTCTATCGAAAGAATTTTATTTGTATGTTGTACTTTGAGGATTTTGACTTGATTCAATTTTTTTTCTTCCAGTTGTACAAAAACCACTCATAGGTTCAGGCTATTAATCTTGGGATTATACACTTCTTAGACTAATCTATACGTTGGTCAATTGACAAACCTTTGTTTGCAATGCTTTTCCTTTTTAAAAAAGGTATTTCAAGTGATTCAGGAAAATAGTGTCAGTTACGCAGACTTATTTGCTGTGATGAGTTTTAGTAGTCACCTACATTTAAGGTGGAAAAAGTTATTAAATTGTTTTCAGCACTTGTAAACGTTACACAGCAATGGATAGTTTATATTTTTGTCTCTTTTTATTTGGGGGAGAATAGGATTTGGAAATGGGGGAGACAGACACAAAAGAAACGTATAATAAGACTGTAGATTTAAAATAAAAATTCATTTCCTGTCCCACCCCCCATTTTCATGCACAGTTTGGAAAAAAAAAAAGTATTCACATAGCTTGATAAAAATGTATCAAATATTTGACCTTTAAGAAAAGCACGCAACTGTCTTGCTAAGTAATTTTTAAATGCATATTTTATAATAGTGGAGTTTCTGCATCATCATAATTTTTTTGAATGTAAGCATTTCTGTTCTGTTTTTCTAGCTGGCAACTGTACAAAGATGCCAATGAAACAGAATAGGCATGCTTTTCTCATGACTGTTTCCTTCACTGCTCTTTCAATATAACTTTTGATATGCATTCACCTTTTTAGAGCTTGTTTGTCTGTCTCCTCCCCTCCCCATCAGCTTTTTAAATGCTCTTCAGTGAATACTGGCTTTCAAGTCTTACAATGCATTGTAATTCTATTTGGAGATACTGGAAGTAATTTCCTATATGCTGAAATAAAACTGTCTTAGATAGAAATTGTGAGTTTTGACAGTTTAAAGGTGCAAAGGAAGGATAGGGAAGTACCAATAAAGAATGAAGTTGGAAGTCAAATCAAGATTTTGGCTTTTGCTCCTGAAGGCCAGAAGTATCTGCTTGATCTTAACCTGTAATAGAAGGCTCTGTTGTCCAAGTTCAGCTCCTGCACAGGATTTGAAGTATTGACTTATGGCTTCCAATACTGTACCAAGAAGATGAAAGGAATGATTTAAAAATGTGTATTTTTTCCTTTAAAGGTGGAAGAAATGGTACAAAACCATATGACATATTCCTTGCAAGACATAGGAGGAGATGCCAATTGGCAGCTAGTGGTAGAAGAAGGAGAAATGAAGGTAAGCATTTGGTTTTTTGCTTAATTGATATAAGATGATATGCTGTGAAGACAGATATTTTTATTCTCTTTGAATACTATTACTAAGCAAGTTATGCTGTTAAAACTTCTCTCAGAGAATAGCATCATTTTAATTAGGACTGGAGACCACAAGAGCTACAGCTTCTAATATATATATTCAGCAAAATCTTATGCAATACTTGCAATAGCTTTGTCTTTACTGATTCCTTTCTCATTTTCCACTTAAAACTTTGTATCAACATGGTGTGTAAATTCAATGTATGAAAATGTTATATGGTAGCAAGTTACTGTCTGCTACTCCACTGTGCTCGTACGCATTCTTGTGCATAGTGATAAATAAGGTAGCTTAATTCAGGAGGGATAGGCAGAGCAGGTGAGGTGGGGGGGTGGCATTTTATATAATGGAGGGGCTGGAATGTATGGAGCTCACAGTTGGCAATGGCACAGCTGAGAGCCTCTGGGTAAGGATCCTCACTCATTCACTCATGGCTAGGCTTCGCGAACGAAGATTTGGGAAGGGCTCTACCCACGTTTGTTGCAAGCGCGTTGGTGGCTAAAAAGGCCAATACGAGATAGGCACGTCCGGTTGCAAAAGGCACAGCAGAAAGACTCCTTAGATGGTATATTCTGCAAGACACGATTCTTTCTGCGTTGTCTTTTCTCCTCAAGGATGATCCTGCGAGCTTTCTCAAAAGCATCAGCAGCGTTATAGGTGGTGTGTCTCCAGGCCTCCCGATTGGAGGCCAGAGTAGACCAGTTATGGTGGTCAATATGGCCAAGGCTGAGATGTTGCTTCAAGGAGTCCTTGTATCTTTTCTTCAGGGCTCCTCTCTTGCGGCAGCCGGTGGCAAGTTCACCATAAAGCAGGATCTTAGGGAGGTGGTGGTCCTTCATCCTGGAGACATGCCCTGCCCAACGCAGCTGTGTTCTCAGTAACATGGCCTCAATACTTGTGACTGCTGCTTGTTCAAGAACAGATGTATTGGTCACATAATCTGACCAGTGGATGTTTAGGATTGTACGGAGGCAGCATTGATGGAAGCGTTCTAGGAGGTGCAGGTGGTGGCAGTAGATGACCCATGATTCAGATCCATATAAGAGAGTAGACAGCACTATGGCTCTGTAAACACTGATCTTTGTACTTTTCTTCAGGTGTTTATTTCGTCAAACTCTTTTACGAAGCTTTCCGAAAGCACTATATGCCTTTGCTAACCTGTTGTCTATCTCCCCGTCAATCTTACCATCCAAGGAGATGAGGCTGCCTAGGCAATTAAACTGCTGGACTAATTTGAGATCTGATTGGCCAATGGTGATGTGGGGATGATGGGGGACTTCCTGAGGTGCTGGTTGATGAAGAACTTCTGTCTTCTTTAAGTTGACTTCCAGCCCAAAGAGCTCAGCAGCATCTGCAAAGCAGGATGTTTAACGCTGCAGGGCTGCTTCTGTATGGGCAACAAGGGCAGCGTCATCAGCGTAAAGCAGCTCCCGGACAAGATGGTTTAAGGTCTTGGTGTGGGCCTTCAGTCGCCTTAGGTTGAATAGGTTTCCATCAGTACGGTATTGAATGTAGATACCATCCTGATCACCGAGGTCTGCCGTGGCCCTTTGGAGCATCATGCTGAAAAAGATTGTGAATAGGGTAGGAGCGAGAACGCAGCCTTGTTCCACACCATTCTTTATTAGAAAGGGCTCAGAAAGTGTGTTGCCATATCTGACTTGGCCATGCTAATCCTCGTGGAGTGAGATGATCATTTTAAGGAACTTGGGGGGACAACCTAACCATTCCAAAATCTGCCACAGACCTTTTCTGCTCACAGTATCGAAAGCCTTGGTGAGGTCGACAAAGGTTACATAAAGACCTTTGTTCTGTTCCCTACACTTCTCTTGCAGTTGCCTGAGAACAAATACCATGTCTGTGGTACTCCTGTTGGCCCTGAAGCCACACTGACTTTCAGGTAGAATTCCTTCTGCTATAGCAGGTATTAGTCTGTTCAAGAGTATTCTTGCCAGGATTTTGCCAGCAATGGAGAGCAGAGTAATACCACGGTAATTTGAGCAATCTGATTTAATTCCTTTCTTCTTATACAAAGTGATGATGACTGCATCACGAAGGTCTGATGGTAGTTCGCCTAGTTCCCAACAGCGCACCAAAAACTCATGAACTTTGGTATGGAGTGCAAGGCCCCCATGTTTCCAGACTTCGGGTGGAATTCCATCAACCCCAGCTGCCTTTCCGATTTTCACCTGCTGTATGGCCTTGAGGGTTTCTCCCAAAGTGGGGGCAGTATCCAATTCATACTTTACCGGTTGTTGTGTGATGGACTGAATTGCTGAGTCTTGGACTACACGGTTGGTACTGAAAAGAGTCTGAAAGTGTTCAGACCATCGATTCAGAATGGAGGTTTTATCTGTTCGAAGGGTTTGACCATCAGCACTGAGTAGAGGGCTTTGTACCTGGTATGTAGGCCCGTATGCTGTTTTCAGGGCCTCATAGAATCCTTTGTGATCACCCATGTCTGCGCATAATTGAGTTTTTTCAGCTAGATCGATCCACCACTTGTTCTGGATGTCACGGAGTTTCTGTTGGAGCTTGCTGCATGCAAGATGAAAGGCTATTTTTCTTGCATGACAGGATGGCAGTGCAAGGTGTGCTTGGTGGGTGGTTCTCTTCTTCCTCAACAATTCCTGGATCTCTTGATTGTTTTCATCAAACCAGTCCTTGTTCTTCTTGAGGGAGAACCCTAAGGATTCTTCAGAGGATTGCAGGACCCTGTTTTTAATATGGTGCCAAATTGTTTCAGGAGACAAATCTGTAGAATCTATGTAATGGTTTTCGAGCCTAGTTTGAAGGTTTGCCTGGAATTTGTCTCTCACTGTGGCTGATTGGAGATTGTTAACTTGGAGTCTTCTCCTTGGGATACTGCCCCTTTTAGGTTTGAATTTGAGATTGAAGTTGCATTTACAGTGCACAAGCCGATGGTCTGTTTGGCATTCTGCGCTGGGCATCACACGGGTATGGAGGACATCGCGGACATCTCTCCGTCGCACCAAGACATAATCAATGAGGTGCCAATGCTTAGATCTGGGGTGCATCCAGGTTGTCTTCAGACTATTTTTCTGCTGAAAGATAGTATTAGTGATGGTGAGCTGTTGCTCCGCACAGAATTCTAGTAGAAGTCGACCATTATCGTTGCAGTTTCCAACACCATGCTTGCCTAATATTCCTTTCCATGCTTCAAAATTCTTACCTACTCTGGCATTGAAATCACCAAGGATAATGATCTTATCACCTGCAGGCACCTTTTGGGTAAGGCGGCGCAGGTCAGCGTAAAATTTATCTTTTTCAGCAGGTAAGGATTAAGGGACAAACAAATAATGGAGATGTCATTGTGGGAGTCTACTATAGACCACCTAGCCAGGACGATGATGCCAATAAATTAATCTTCAAAGAACTAAGGGACACTTCCAAATCAACTGCCCTTGTCCTTATGGGAGACTTCAACTTGGCAGATGTTAACCACACAACTGGTACAAACAGGTCCAGAAGATTTGGAGCTAAGGTAAAAAAGAAGGTGTATGGACATTAGAAGCAAGGTCAGGTGATGTGGGAGGACTACAGAGATGCTATGCTGCTCGCCACTGTAGGGAGAAAATTTGTGCGGTGAAAGCTCAGCTGGAGTAGAATCTGGTCAGAAATGTGGGGGACAATAAAGACAGCTTTTTAAAATCCATTAATAGCAAAAGGTAATGCAGAAATAACATCGGCCTGTTACAGGATGAGAATGGTCACCTCACTGTTCCAACTCGCTTAGGTACAGAGAGGCAAAGTGTGCCTCTATCCATAAATGCAGGGAGGAATTTAAGTTTGAATATACCCAAAAGCGAGATTAAGACACAAACAAGGTCAAATTTTGGTATCCAAAACGATAATTCAACTTTATTAACTATAAAAAGAGGCAGAGAGAGAAAGAAGGAAAAATAGAGAAAAGTGGGAAAAGCTAAGAATAATTACAAGAAGCACAGGAAAGAGATTACCACCACCATGAACTCTGCGCTGGATCTCCTCCTTGGTGATGGGGGAGTCTGTCGGTTCGTTCTCGGGTCTTTTGTCTCTGCGGCGTGAATGGAGTTCTCGCAGCGTGTGTAGACCCTGCGGCGCGTCCTGGGTCCTGCCGGGCTGGTCGCGATGCTGAGCGGGTAGTGCCGGGGCGCGGCTCGTGTGTGGGCAGCGGCGTGTGTGTGCCCACGGTGTGTGCCGGGCAGCAGCGTGTGCGTGCCCGCGGCGTGGGGCAGGGCGGGGGGGGGAGGGGTCAGGGTTTCTCGCCTTAGGCTGTGCGGCGCAGCCCCGACCTCTTCCCGGCTCAGTGCGTTTACGATCTCCGGAATGTGGAGATCTGCGAGTGTGGCGACTGCGGCGTATCCCGCGGCGCGTGTGGGAGGCAGGGTTTCCTGCCTTCGATCTTCCGCGCGGCGCCTCCCCCCCTCCCCCGCCCCGATCCCGCGGCATGTCTTCGATCTCTTCACCGGGCGTGTCTTAGGCACTTGTTTATATAGGGTCGGAGGCGGTGTGCCTTACGGTGTGTGGTAACAACGTAGCAACGACACGTTTAATATGAAACCAGTCTCAGTACCGCATGCAGGTGCTACTGTCCCCCGACTCATGGTTATTTGAACAGTCAAAACAATTCGCTTCTTGCAGTTCGAACAAAGACAAACAGCAGGCAGTGACGGAGCATGCTCTGCTTCTGTCAGTGCTTTATGCTCACAAACAGGGACATAGACAAGGCAGAGATGTTTAATGCTTTCTTTGTCTCTGTCTTCAACAACAATGATGGGCTAAGGGGGTCCCCCTGCCCTGAGCTGGAGGACCATGACTGTGAGAATGATAAACCCCCAGTTGATCCTGAACTTGTGCAGGATCTGCTGCTCCAGCTGGATCCGTATAACTCTATGGGGCCTGATAAGATTCATCCGAGAACGCTTGAAGAGCTGGCTGATGTCATCACAAGGCCTCTCAATGATTTTTGAATGGTCTTGGGAATCTGGAGAGGTCTCAGTTGACTGGATGCTGGCTAACCTTGTCCCAGTTTTCAAGAAGGACAAGAGGGATGACCCTGGAAACTACAGGCCTGTCAGTCTCACTTTAGTGACTGGTAAAATTATCAAGACGACTATCCTGGGAGGTACTGAAAAACACCTGAAGGACAATGCAGTCATCGGTCACAGCCAGCCTTGCTTCATGAGGGTAAAGTCCTGCTTGACAGACTTAATTTCCTTTTATGACAATATAACCCACGTAGTTGACTAAGGGAATCCAGTTGATGTAATCTTTTTGGATTTCAGTAAAGCTTTTCATACTATCTCTCACAAGATCCTTCTGGACAAAATGTCCAGCACACAGCTGGATAAACACATCATGTGGTGGGTGAGCACCTGGCTGATGGGTCGGCCACAAAGGGTAATAGTGAATGGAGTAAAATCAGACTGGTGACCTGTCACTAGTGGGGTTCTGCAGGGCTCCATCCTTGGCCCAGTTCTCTTCAACATCTTCATAAATTACTTGGATGCAGGACTCAAAGGTATATTTAGTAAGTTTGCTGACAACACTAAATTGGGAAGAGCTGTTCGCTCCCTCGAAGGAAGAGAGGCCCTGCAGAGAGACCTCAACAAATTAGAGGGATGGGCAATCACCAACCATATGAAGTTTAACAAAGGCAAGTGCCAGATTCTGCACCTGGGATGGGGCAACCCTGGATGTATGTACAGACTGGGGAATGAGAGGCTGGAGAGCAGTGCTGCAGAAAGGCACCTGGGGGTCCTGGTCGATGGTAAGTTGAATATGAGTCAGCAGTGTGCCCTGGCAGCCAGGATGGCCAACCGTGTCCTGGGGTGCATCAAGAAAAGTATCACCAGCCCATCGAGGGAGGTGATTGTCCCGCTCTACTCTGCACTGGTGCAGCCTCACCTCAAGTCCTGTGTGCAGTTTTGGGCACCACAATATAAGGAAGACATAAAGCTATTCGAAAGTGTCCAGAGGAGGGCTACGAAGATGGTAAAGGGCCTAGAGGGGAAGCCATATGAGGGGCAGCTGAGGTCACTTGGTTTGTTCAGCCTGGAGAAGAAGAGACTTAGAGGAGACCTCATAGAGTCTACAACTTCCTCACGAGGGGAAGCAGAGGGGCAGGGGTCGATCTCTTCTCTGGTGACCAGTGATAGGACCTGAGGGAATGGCAAGAAACTGTGTCAGGGAATATGTAGGTTGGATAGTAGGAAAAGGTTCTTCACTCAGACGGTGTTGAGCAATGGAACAGGCTCCCCAGGGCAGTGGTCACAGCTACAAGCCTGACAGAGTTCAAGAAGAGTTTGGACAACACTCTCAGACACATGGTGTGATTCTTGGGGTTGTCCTGTGCAGGGGCAGGAATTGGACTTCAATGATCCTTGTGGGTCCCTTCCAACTCATGATATTCTGTGATTCTCTAAATCATTTTTGGAGTAGAAATTTTCAAAGTACTGGTATTTTCATGTGAAGTGCCATGCAAGAATATCTGCATCGGTAGTTACCAGAGAACACTCACATGGCAAATTAGTCATTTGTTAGTCTTCTGGGTAAGTTTTTGTCTTAGTTTAACAAGATTACAACTTAGAAATTAAAAAACTTGATGTGGATGTGTGGAAAAGGAAAAGAAACAGCTTTTATTAACAAAATCTGAATCAACAACAAATGGTGCAGTCAAAAACTTTCAGAAGAAACAAAACAAAGTCCCAATTCCCCAGGTGGGGAGGAGAAACCCGCAGCAACCCGGGGGGGGAGGCAGGACTCTCCCGGCAGTTCAATGGCTGCTCGCAGCCACGTGTGCTTGCAGCCAGCACTGAAAAAAAAGTCCTTTTTCTCACAGGCAGTCCAAAGGCAGAATACCTCGCTCTGATATAGGTCGGTCTCTCTCTCTCAGGAAAAGAAAAGGAGGTGGCCGAACCCGGGGTCCCGCTCTGTCTGGTCAGCGGACCAAACCCAGAAACCCCCAAACAAAGAACTCCCCCAGCTGTCCCTGCGGCAACTGCGCTTCCCCGGGAGACCTTCCCCTCTCCCCGCTCCCGCGCTACCCAGCACGTGCGGCTCTGCTCCGCCCCCACCCCCTCCCCGACTCCCCCCATCCCAGAATAAACAGATGGTGGGGGGGGGCGGGGGGGACAGGGACGGAACCCTAGGGAAAAAAAATAATTCCAACATCTCTTCAAACCTGTGACAGTTTTTATCAAAGCTGATGAAATTTTAAATAATTAAGACATGAACAGTTTTGACAATTTTTGTTCTGCATTTCTTTCTATGTATTTGACCATAGGTGTACAGAAGAGAGGTGGAAGAGAATGGAATAGTTTTAGATCCTTTGAAAGCAACGCATGCTGTTAAAGGGGTAACAGGGCATGAAGTTTGCCACTACTTCTGGAATGTCGATGTTCGTAATGACTGGGAAAGTAAGGAATCATTTGTTAACCTTTGCATGTTTATCAGCAGTCATACAGTTTATAACACTGACCTAATATCTGTGCTTGTTTACTGATGCATTTTTATTTCCGTTCCTCTTTAGCAACAATTGAAAATTTCCATGTTGTGGAAAATTTAGCTGATAATGCCATCATCGTTTACCAGATGCATAAGGTAATAACATTTCACCTGTATACACACCTTAGTGCAACAGTCTGGGGCATATGTGTTCTAATCTATTCTGAAATACTTTAAGATCTTAACAACCTAAAATATTATCCAGAACAACAGTTCAGAACAAGTTCTCTATTAAACTGCAACTTTGTAAATTTTTCAAAGTTGACTTGATAGCATAATTGGTTGTGTATGTATCTGATAGAGCTTGAAATAACAAACAAGGATTGTTTTTAATCTCTTAAGTGTATCACTGGCAGCAACACAAGGATCATCTCAAGAAAACTGAAGCAATAAATTGACACTGACTACAAGGAAGAAACCCATACCCCTGTATCATATGTTTTGTTGCAATAATGCAAGCTATTGTTGACCATGATTAGTTGGCATCTGCATTTGCATTATGAGGTGTCCTGGTACAACATTTGTTCTTTTAACTTCATTATGGTTTTTTACCCCAACCAGTTCTGATGTAGCTTTACTAAAATGTTCATTTGACTTATAACCCAATAACTGTAACCTAACAGGTTCTAAAAAATTGAGAATGAAGCGTACATATTCATCTTTAATCTTGCATGATTACAAGTATTACTATACTCAAATATTAAAACAATTATTTTTTTTTTACTGGTAATGTGGTTACCTTAAAACTGCTGTAACAGCAGACTCTGATTTTTGAATAAGGCAGTTGTATGAACTGTATAGTCACAGAGTGTTGTGTTGTGGTAAAAGCTAGACTTTTTTCCCCTATTGAGTGTCAGGAAAACGGCTTCTGTCTCACTAAAGTAGTAACTTTTTGAAATAATATTTGTTATAAATATTTCTTGCACTCTCACCATATTTATGGAGACATAAATAACTGTAGATGCATCTATTTAAACTTAACCACTAGTTCAGTTTGTAACTTACAAGTATTAATTAAAATGTAAACCTGAGATTGAGAGAACAGGAGGGGAAGTGCCTCTTCCTGGTTGTCTACTGAAAAAGTCATTGCAACTTGGTCCCTGCCTTTCAAAGGCCTTAAACTTTTGCCTTAACTTTTTAAAACTAAGTATAGGCATATAACCTCATACACATCTGTACAACAGTTGTGTTTTGTTTCAGTTTTGAAAATTGCATGAAATTACTAACTTGAATAAACTTTTTTACTTTAATAACAACTGACCTGTTTTGCCTTGTTTGTTGTTTTCCTTTGTCTAAGGATAGTAAGTACTTAATTTACAAAACTGGAAAAGCTTATATTCAGGTGTCTCTCTGCAGAGAGTGTGGCCGGCTTCTCAAAGGGATGTACTGTATTTGTCTGCCATCAGAAAGATACCAGCATTCAGTGAAAATGATCCTGAAACATGGATTGTTTGCAATTTCTCTGTGGAACATGACAGTGCTCCTGTAAGTATTATTTTCATTATATCAAGTTCTGCTTTAAAGATGCCATTTTTCTATTATGTGGTGTGATGTTCTTGCAATACAGAGGGGGAGGGGGGAGAAGGGGGTGATATGCAAAAATACAGTTTGTTTATACCAGATGATGCAATGACCTGATGAAGGCATTTTGAGCCCAAAACTTTCTTACCTTATCTCAACAGTTGGCATATCTAAGGTGTTGCATAAAAATGGAAGCAAAATTTTCGGTGAAAACATTTTAAAGAATTGAGGTTCCTTCATATAGAATCAAATAAATAACTCTTCAGTATTGTCAGACATGGGGATAGGCTTGTATAACGGAAACATAATTTTTTGGAGTGTCTTAGACTTTATACTAAATTAAAATGCTAACAGTCAAGTATGACGAAATACACCTAGTTTGAAGCTTACAATTGTTGCTTTTTTTTTTGACAGCTGAACAATCGCTGTGTCCGTGCCAAAATAAATATTGCTATGATTTGTCAGACTTTAGTAAGCCCACCAGAAGGGAACAAGGAAATAAGCAGGGACAATATCCTATGCAAGATTACGTATGTAGCTAATGGTAAGTCTAAAATTTTTCAGTACAACATTAATGATATATGCTAACTCTGGGGAGCTGAATACTGGAAAAAAAAAAGGTTGTGCAGTTTTGTGTTAAATTTATATATAGGATCACACTTGTGGTCTTCATGGTCAAGGACTCGAATTATTGTGCTACATCAATCACTGAATGGGATCTTTCATTGTGTGGCATTTTGGGAGCAATAAATGAAAGTAATGTGCAGCTCAGTTCTAAGTACAGAACCTTGGGATAGAGGGGGGTGGGCAGAAGAAATGTCTGCAACTGGCATGACTTGACATAAGCTTTTAGTTTTAGTAATAATCTGGGTTTTTTATTCATGTATTGCTGTCAAATTTTTCCACAGTTCATGTTTGTGAAAGGATGTTTGCAAGCTGTATAATGTAGTCTACATACTTTTTTTTAACTGACAGAATCTTTGACTGCAAAGTTAGCAAAACCAAACTGTATTGTTACTGTACTCAGTATTTAGCAGTGTATTATAGTATTGGAACCTCATACCTATTATCTCCTCTGCTGCAGCTGAAAAACACCTTGAGTCTCTCACCTGCTTATTATTTTTGACCACCTATTACATGGCTTACTAAATAATCACAGTCTGAAAATTAGGTTCAGTAAATCTTTGCCATATAGGAGTGATACAACTTGTATTAAATCTTGTACAAATAATACTATATGATGTTAAACTCTGGGGGTAAGTTCCTTTGTTTCCTGTTTAGAAGTTTCACAATTATTTAAAAAAATATATTTTCATTGACAAATTCTGAACTGTGATTATATGGGAAGTGGCATCTTTTTCAGCAAAGTACTTGACCTGTGACTTTAAGCATATTTTATAATCAGATCAAATTTTGTTTGAAGTGCTTTAAAAATAATTTGTAAGACGTTGACTATGTAGCAATTCTGCAGGCAAATGCAGCAATTATTGAAAAGTTAAGGCTTGACTTCTATTTTCTTTGAAATGAGAAGTAGATTGAGTCTCTCTTTCTGTTGTTTTTTGAAAGTACTTAAAGAACATAGTCTTTCATTTGGGCATTCCCCAAACATAACACATCACGTTTAATGTTTTCTAAATAGTAGCATCATAAAACTGGACTGAATTAGAGTATTAAGAGTAGAAAGTGCTGCAATACAAGTTGTAAGGGTATAAATTCTGCTGAATATTCTTTCCTGTTACTTTAGAAAGAATTGCAGGAATACAAAGTTAAATTTTCTCTTTTAGCTTTTAGCAGATTTATTGTATTTCAATGTCTGGCTTCCTGTCTACTTGTAGTGAACCCAGGAGGATGGGCACCAGCATCAGTGTTACGGGCAGTGGCAAAACGAGAATATCCAAAATTCTTAAAGCGTTTTACATCATATGTGCAAGAGAAAACAGCAGGAAAGCCTATTTTATTCTAATATTAGCAGGTATACTTTTTTTTTTATTCTTGATTTACTGTTGTAAATATTTAAGGCCAAACAGAAGTAGGCAATCTAGAAATGTCTTTCTAGCATGAATTCAGTGCTTATATTTAATATATGTGGATGGTTACAGGCTCTTCAGGAGGGATAGGCAGGGCAGGTGAGGTGGGGGGGTAGCATTGTATGTAATGGAGAGACTGGAATGTATGGAGCTTACAGTTGGCAATGGCACAGTTGAGAGCGTCTGGATAAGGATTAAGGGACAAACAAATAAAGTGTGAGGATCTACTATAGGCTACCCAGTGAGGATGATGACACTGGTGAATTATTCTACAAGGAACTAAGGGACACCTCTAAATCAACCACGTTTGTCTTTATGGGGGACTTCAACTTGCAATATATTAACTGGGAACACCATACAGCTGGTACAAACATGTCCAGGAGATTCCTAAAACACCTGGATGATAACTTCATGGTACAGGTACTAAATGAGCAGACTAGGAAAGATGCCCTCCTTGATTTGTTGCTTGTTAACAGAGAGGGTCTTGTGAGTGAAGTGGAGATTGCTGGCCATCTTGGCCAGAGCGACCATGAAGCCATCGAGTTTAAAATCTCCATTGACAGAAGGAAAAGTGCCAGCAAAACCTCAACTCTGGACATGAGGAGAGCAGACTTCAGGCTGCTCAGGGAACTAGTGAGTAAATTTCCCTGGGAAAATGCTTTTGAAGGTGCTGGCATCCATCAATGCTGGTCACTTTTTAAGCACCACCTCCTAAGAGCACAGGAGCAGGCAATTCCCAAATGTCGGAAGTCAAGCAGGCAAGGCAGAAGGCTGGCTTGACTGAGCAGGGATCTTCTTTTGGAGTTAAGGCAAAAAAAGAAAGTGTATGGACATTGGAAGCAAGGTCAGGTGACATGGGAGGACTACAGAGATGCTGCTTGCTGCTGTAGGGAGAAAATTTGTGCAGCCGAGACTCCATTAGAGTTCAAGCTGGCCAGCACTATGAAGGACAGGAAAAAGGGCTTTTTTTAATATGTTAACAGCAAAAGGAGAATCAGACATGACATTGGTCTGTGGCTTGATGAGGTCAGTCACCTCACAAACAGGCACGCAGACAAAGCAGAGTTGTTTACTGCTTTCTTTGCCTCCGAATTCAATACCAATGATGGGCTCTGGGACCCACAGAGCCCTGAGCTGGAGGACCTTGACTATGAGAATGATAAACTCACAGTCATCCCTGAACTTGTGCAGGATTTGCTGCTCCACCGGGATCCCTATGTCTATGAGACCTGATGGGATTCATACAAAAGTACTCAAAGAGCTGGCTGATGTCATTGCGAGGCCTCTCTCAATGATTTTTCAATGGTCTTGGGAATCTGGAGAGGTCCCAGTTGACTGGATGCTGGTTAACATTGTCACAATTTTCAAGAAGGACAAGAGAGATGACCCTGGAAACTACAGGCCTGTCAGTCTCATTTCAGTGACTGGTAAAATTATGAAGATGACTATTCTGGGAGTAATTGAAAAACACCTGAAGGACAATGCAGTCATTGGTCATAGCCAGCCTGGTTTCATGAGGGGAAAGTCCTCCTTGACAAATTTAATTTCCTTTTACAACAAGGTAACCCACCTAGTTGATCAAGGGAAACCAGTTGATGTAATCTTTTTGGATTTCAGTAAAGTTCCATCTTAAAGCTCAGGGGTCCATTTTAGGACCAGTTCTGTTCAACATCTTCATAAACAACTTGGATGCAGGACTCGAAGCTATACTAAGTTTGCTAATGACACTAAATTGGCAGACTCTGTTGACTCCCTCAAAGGCAGAGACGCCCGGCAGAGAGACCTCGATAAATTAGAGGGCTGGGCAATCATCAACTGTATGAAGTCTAACAAGGGCAAGTGACAGATTCTGCACCTGGGAGGGGGCAATCCTGGATGTACGTACAGACTGGGGAACGGTAAGCTGGAGAGTAGCCCCATGGAACGAGATCTGTGGGTTTGGGTTCATGGCAAGTTGAATGAGTCAGCAGTGTGCCCTGGCAGCCAAAAGAGTCAACTGGGTCCTGGGGTGATCAAGCTCAGCATCGTGAGCCGTTTGAGGGAGGGGATTGTCCAGCTCTACTCTGCACTGGTGAGACCTCACCTCGAGTCCTGTGTGCAGTTTTGGGCACCACAATATAAGAAGAATATAAAGCTATTAGAGAGCATCCAAAGGAGGGCCATGAAGATGGTGAAGAGTCTATAGGGGAAGCCATATGAGGAGTGGCTGAGGTCACTTGGTTTGTTCAGCCTGGAGAAGAGGAGACTGAGGGGAGACCTCATAGAGTCTACAACTTCCTCACAAGGGGAAGCAGAGGGGCAGGGGCCAATCTCTTCTCTGGTGACCAGTGATAGGACCTGAGGGAAAGGCATGAGGCTGTGTCAGGGGAGGTTTAGGTTGGATATTAGGAAAAGGTTCTTCACTCAACAGGTGGTTGAGCACTGGAAGTAGTCATTGCACCAAACCTGCTAGAGTTCAAGAAGTGTTTGGACGACACTCTCAGGCACATAGTATGATTCTTGGGGTTGTCCTGTGCAGGGCAAGGAGTCAGACTCAATGATCCTTGTTGGTCCCTTCCAACTCCGGATATTCTATAATTCTGTGAAAATGGGTTTTTATTACTTTTCTATGTATGGCATAGGCTACCTCTGTTTTTAGTTTCTATTTATTATGTCAGACTCCAAAAGTCTTAGTAATTTCATCTTTGTCTAAGAGGTAGCCCTGTAATGATTCTAATTTTTAATTGTATATTATTAGAGAACTAGTGTAGGTGAACCATTTAAAACATAGCTGTCACGAACCAGCAGTTCAAGTGTGATAATTGCAGTGCTGATACTGATAAGGGGTTTAACAAGTTCTTGTTTTCCTATTAGTGTTCAAAGTTTTCAGTACTGTATTTTGTCTTTGCTATCTGCAGTGATCAGAATAAGACTGGGTGAGCATTCCACCTTGAAGTGACTGATAAGGGCATAGAGCACTCCATGCTGGAACAAAAGATCTACAGTCTTTTTATGGCTGAAGTTCTAGGCTTTGTACACTGAAGTAAAGAAGCAGTGCAACACCATGAGGCTGAATATTTAACACTAGCTCTCTCCTAAATTTTCTTGTGGAGTCAGTGTATAATTATCAACAGATGTTTTGAGAACCTGTATATGGCTATTTTATTTGATTGTTTTAGCAGAGGAAGAACGTGTACAGTTTTGAATCACCAACATGGGTTACTGCTTTAATTTGAAACAACTTGCAGAATTTCGCTGTCAACATTCCTAAGATACTAGTGCAGTTTTTGTGCGTCTAAAATGCACAAAAGACAAATGCACATATAGCATACTCTATGTGCTTTATGTGCACAAAGATCTATGTGGTATTTTGAGTGGGAGGGAGGGAGTTCAGTAAAGCCTAAGTGACTTATTGACAGGTTTTGTTTTGCTTTGTATAATCATAGTTCATCGCTGTTTGTTTCTATAATGAATCATCTTGTTGCATAAAATGTCAGGTAATAATTGAGGGCTGTCAATATCCTTATGACTGCCTTTTCTATTGTCTTACTCTTATGAAGATCTTTGGCTCTGAAGGAGTAAGAGTGTGAAAAGCTTTATTTTTTTCAGTTATATTTCTATTGGATTTTTTAATTATGTAATATGTGCTGCAGAATTTTTGTTATTAAACACAATCCAGAAATTTCTAGGAAGATTCTGTATTAGAGGGCAAAAGAATGCCTGACAACTAGAAGTCATCTGTTCATGATATATGTGGATTGCTTTCTTGCATGATATCTGGGGCTTTCCTGAAGCTGTGAGAAGGTGCACTCTAATATTTATTGAAATAATTTGGACTACATAGGACAACGTTCCCAGCCTAGAATGAGGATGAGTACATTATTTTCATATCCTGCATGTGTTTTTCTCATCTTGATGAAACCATACTATGAGGTTCATGTAGAAAATGAGTTGCACTGATACTTGCCTCTTAATCAAAAACTCATCAGAACTGTAAGGATGTATAGTTCATATTGGAAAGTTCTATTTCCTGTGAGAATTTAAGTGTCAGATATTTGCCAGCCTCTGATTCTGGAGATGCTCATTAACAGAAGACTCTGGCAGACTGGTACTGACTTTGAGGTCTTTTATCCATGTCCTGTAGTTGGAAATTCTTCAGAGGCTGCTGGGTGTTTCACTGACCTGTGTATCTCAAGAAAAACGTTCCAGATTTTTTTTTTCTTAAAAGAAAACTGAAAGTCTTGTTTGATATAGTATGGTAGGTACCTGAAAATAAATAAAAAATAATAACTTAAAAAAGATTTGATTAATGATTAAATGTGATCCGCACAGTGTTGAAAAAGCTTTATGTGTTCATCCTCTCTATAGAGATGAAATCATACATAACTCACAATTACACATGCATGCAGTCTTCATGCTCCATAACTTTTTCCTTTTTATTTGCCTTTTCTAATTGTGTGCATGGAATATGCCTTATTACAGAGTTATTCTATTAATTTGAATATCTAGAAAAGTGCCTATATGTTAATGTTAGTAAGGCAAATAAGATGAAAATTTGTACGTTTACTACATCACTAGTGAACATTTTATATAGTAATGTTTAAAAAATTATCTCAAATATACTTCTTCATTTTAAGATCAACCAAGCAGCGGTTAATTCCACCATAACTACTGATGGGAATGTAAAGAAAAAAAAGTCCGAAATATGAAGAGTTTAACTCCTTATTTACCTTTTCTTGTAATTGTTGAACACAGGCAAGTAACTTTATTAATTTAATTGGATGGCTTTTTTTTGCAAAGATATGGGAAGTTTACAAAGCGGTATATAATATATCATTAGTTGCATTTGCACTAAATGTGATGTACTTTTGCAATTCTGTAAATAAAATTAAACTATAGATAATAATTGTAAATAATATTTTGCTTTTAGATAAAATCACTGGTACTTCACTACAGC